AGATGTTAAAAGTGATATAGGTCTATAATTAGACACATTATATATATCGCCATTCTTATGTAATGGTTTTATTAATGCATATTTTAATCTATCCGGAAATACTCCTCTCCTTAACATTTTATTGCATATATAATTTATAGGTGAACTTATAAATGACGAGCTTATTTTTAAAATCATAGGTGGTATCTCATCATATCCATGCGAATTTTTTAGTTTAAGGAGCTTTTTATTTTTTTATTTCTTTGTTCGTACAGCATTTGGAATTCATATTTGGGTATGGATTAGAAAAAGCTTGGTTCATGAAATGAATATAATTTTCATCATCATTAATATCATTTGCGGTTATGGGATTATTAATATCTTGTTTTTTTTATTTTCTCTACAATGTTAATAAAATAATTATTAAATTTTTCAGCTATAGTTGGTTGATTATTGAGCTTCTTACCATCAATTTTTAGTGTTTTTATTTCAACTCTATTTGTATTTCTACCTGCTTCTTTATTTATAATACCCCAAGTAGTTTTAATTTTATTATCAGAATTTAGAATGCATTTATCATACTCCATTCTTTTTGCCTCTTTTATAACTGTGGTCAATATTTTAGAGTAATTTCTGTAATAAGTTTTAAGAGTAGGATCCTTATTATTCCTTAATTTATTACAAAGTTCTCGTTTATGTTTACAGGACATTAATATTCCTGGTGTAATCCAAGAATTATTTTTCTGTTTACATTTTATCTGTGTCAAAGGGAAGCTGGAATAGTAAATTTTTAAGAAAATATTTAAAAATGTGTTAAAACTATTATTAATATCATTTTCATCAAAAACTAATTCCCATGTTTCCTGACTTAGTTTTAATTGAAAATCTGTTATAGTATCGTTATTTATTAACCGTTTTATATAAGTATGATATCCTTTTCCCTGTTCCTGTGCCTTATGAAGTATTAATACTTGGGCATCATGATCTGATAGACCATTTATAGAGGGGTATATCTCATATTTTCCAATACTGTTTATATCAATGAAAAAATTATCAATTACAGTGCATGAGGAGATGCCAACTCTAGTGGGGAATGTTACAATACTAGTAAGATTATATGATTGTAGGACAGCATCAAGTTGCTTCTTTCTGTTATCATCATTTAAATAATTTACATTTATATCACCACATATAATTATATTGTATCTCTCATGATATAATTTCTGTAGAATCATATCTAATCTTTCCAGGAAATTTGTAAAATTACCCATAGGAGATCTGTAAATAGTTAGTATACAATTTTTTTTTGTTCCTGGTAAGTTCTTAGTCAGCTGAATTGCACACGCTTCGATGTCCTTGTCTACAGTAAATTCTTCTAAATTTATGGTCTTAAATTTTAAATTTCTATATACAAATATACTTACACCTCCTTTTTGAAAAAATTTCCTACAATATTTAGCACCTAATGAGTAGTCATTTAAATGTATCAGTTGAAGTTCTGAATCTCCAAGATGCTGTTCAGACAAGCACATAATATGTGGTAGATCATGTAGTAAGTGACAATAAAGTTCGTTAATTTTATTTCTCAATCCTCTAATATTCTGATGGAAGACTTTCAAAAATGTATTTAATATAACCTGACTCGAAATATTTGCTATAGTACTATCAACTTCACTTACATCAGTATTCATTTGGATCTTTTGAGGAATTACATTATCACTTGGTATGACACTCAAACTGTCTTTTAAGATAACCGGTCGGTTTGTATTATCATTGCCTGTAAATCTATTTTTACTAACTGTATAATTAACATTAAAATTTGCCATAGCTTGATTGACACTATATGGACCTTCATCTACCATAAAAAATCCTTTGTCCTTGTTACAGGGCTTTTCCTTTCTCTAACTGGCATTCTAGGATATAAAGCTTCCGAATGGGCTGTTTCTGTTTGCCTATTTACTGTTTCAAAACTCCCACTCTCTTGATCCTTTTCCTTGCCTGAATTCTCAATTAAAATCACAGTACTTTCACTTTTACTTTTGTTAACTGCATTAAGCATTTTAAAGTGTGGATTTAACTCTATTTTATCATTACTTGTCCTATCTATCATGTCAGGTCTACAGTCAGTAAAGTCTTCTTTCCATTTCGCACTAATAGGAATTGGTTGTTTTGTTATAAGTATTGATTTTATGTTTTCTGATATTATCTTGGATATGGACTCCTTCCCGAGACCATTCATATGTAATCCATGTTGAGTAAAGTGGTCTCTATCTAAATTCTTCTCTACTACGTATGCATAGTCATACATTTTCAATTTCTTGAGTAGTTTCCTATTAAATATTTTTACTTCATTGTTTACACAGGAAGCCGTGTCCAGATTATGTCTGTGTGGTGCACCCACCACCACAACATTTGTATGACCTCCACTTTGAACGAAATTAGAAATACTTGCAAGTCCCTTAGATGATTCATCCTTACTAATATCGTTAGTACCTCCCCACACCACGATTACATCATTCTTGGTCAGTGTTGCAATTTCTTTCTTTGCCATATTAGTGATAGCTTCTAATTTCGAACCTGGCATCACTAGGCCTGAGACGTCAAAATGTTCATTCAGGTTATAAGATACTTCTGCGGCACATCCTCTCGCGTGACTATCTCCAATGATAAGCACTTTATGTTTACTTCTCGTCTTGGTCTTGATTTTCCTGTCGTCAGTCCTGTGCATAACTTCCATTCTTTGTTCTAATGATATATTCTGTAGTTGATTGAGGTTATACAATAGTTTATATCGGTTTACAATGGTTGGTATTGGCTGAACATTGTTTACCTCTGGCTTTCCATTCCTTTTAGGGCGGGATGCAGGTACATGGATCCAGTCCCTCTTTTTGAATTCAGTTTGTAAAGAGTTCCCCTCGTGATGCAAGTTACATACGTCTTTCCTTACAGTCCGAGTGGACGTCACTAAATTTAATTATTCTTGAAGGAGTTTAATAATTTTTTGGGCTGAACTGAGATTTATTAAGGCCTTTTGTAATTCTGATTTAAAATTATCACAACAAACACACGCACTATATCCTAATTCAGACTTTCTATAGTGGGGGGAAGGGGTTATTGAATAGCTTAATGCCAGTATATAAACTCGTTTAATATTTACTGGGTTCAGTATTTGGTACATGAAGATTGTATCTGTACTTATATTGTGGATATGTTTGTTTGGAATGTTTCTATTTTGTCCACTAAAAATGTTGAAAATATGAACAAGAAATTGCTGGCTAATGGAGGAATATTAAATATCTTAATTCTGTACCTGCCATTATTCTAATATATACATACATGCATTCCTTGGATCCATAAGTTGAATGACTAATGATTTCTTAGGAACGATTCCGCTCCATGGAGTAAGTAAGGATCCACAAGTTAGATGAAAATAGGATATGCAATAAGTCATAAAGTACAGTATGTACATACAAGTGCTATTCAAACTTTTATACACTCTTCACATAGAATAATTAAATATTTCATGTAAAGTGATGAATTGTTTCCAAGAAATTGCCACATATACAGCAAATAAATTATACTGCCCAGTTATACTATATAAAAGCTTTAGAACCTATAAAAATATGAGTCACTTTCAAAGATTGTAAATTCATGAACATAGAAAAATGAGTGTGTATTTAAGTACCTTTTTAATGCTACTTTTTAATGTCACATTTTATTCATGACAAGATGGTAGACTGTTCAAAATTTTGATGCCAGCATAGAATGCACTTTTCTCAAAGCATGATATATTGACAATTGGTTTATGAAGCTGACATTTATTCCTTGTCTGAAAATGTTCTTTGTTATTCACAATGAAAGTCATTAATGAGAATATGCATTCATATTGAAGAGGTAAGATCTGTAATATCGTAAAAAGATTTTACATGAATTTCTAGGTTTGACACCACCATATATTTAACAATTTTCTTTTGTAAAGTGAATATCTTTTTGCTTTTAGATGAATGGCACCAAAAAATTAATTCACATGTATTTATACTGTGAAAATAGGCAAAGTAAACTGATTTCAGTGGAAGTGTTGCTGACATAAAAAACAGATTCAACTGCAGATCATGCTCTATTTAACTTCATAACCATTTCATCAATATGATTTTTCCAGTTTATGTAGTTATCAATTTGTAAACCAAGAAATTTCATATTTACTGACTCTTCTATATACATTCAATCATTTACATTTGTTTTATCATGATTTAGGGCCAGCAGTGAACCATTTACTCTTATAATAGAGAACTGTGTTTAACAGTGCACAGAAGTCATCAACATTTTTACCAGCAATTATGACACTTGTGTCATCAGCAGCTAATATTATGGATTTTGACAAGTTATTCTTTGTTGGAGGAAGGTCATTTATGTATATTATGAAAAGTAAACACCCTAGAATCAATCCTTGGGGAAATCCATGTTTTATTGTTCCCCAGTTTGAGAAAAGAATTCTGAGTGTCATTAGGAGACTTTGTTTTCAAGTTTTGTGTTCAATCTGTTAGATACAATCTCAAACATTTTGTGGCTATTGCTTGAATGCCATAGAAATGTAACTTTGTTAAAAAAATTTCGTGATTTACACAGCCTTTGCTTAATCATTGAATATTCCTCCAACATGAACTTTTTTGTTAACACATTGTCTGTTATTTTGAATGACGCATCCTGAAACCAAATTGTTCTGGGACCATTATGTTGGTAGTATGCATATGATGGTTTAACCTGTTTTTACACAACCTTCCAAAATACTTTGGAAGAAGCAGTTTATAGTGAAACTGGCCTATAGTTTGTCAAAGTAGTTTTGTCACTTTTTTTGTATGGTTGTTTTACTATTTAGATTTTAAGACAGTCTAGGAAAATGCTTGTGAATAGTGAGTGATGACAAATGTGGGCTAATGGGTGACTAATTAAAAAAGAACAAGCTTTAAAAATTTTACTATAACCTGATGAGTTTCTTGATGTAAGGAAATACACTGTACTTTTTATCCCAGATGCAGTAGTTGGAATAATTTTAATACTAGGAAATTTTACAGGAAATGAAATTTTTAAAAAATAAATAGCATCTTCACTCCCCACATATTATAACTTAAGACTTTTAATAATTGAAGGCATTAGCAACTCTACTTCTTCATTCCTTATGAGGAGCTCAGCTAAATGTATCTTTCATGTCTCCCGCTTTACTACAGTTCAACATTGTTTTTATTTTATATCTACTGTCTAACCTGTCTTACAGCATTATTTACAATTTTACAATACTTAGTGTAAAATGCTCTTGTGTTTGGATCATTGCTCTTCCTACCGTACATAAATAGACTTCTTTTACATTTGAAAGATGTTTTTATTCCTTGTGTAGTCCAGTCATTCTTTCCTTTGCATATTCCTTTATATTTAACTTGAAAACTAGCATCATAGATATTTAGAAAACTATACAGAATTGTGTTTAACTTGTTGCTAGTGTCATTATCTTCATACACAGATTCCCATGTTGCACTCATTACAAGCTGAAACTGCATTTTTTTGTTTTATACTTCAAAAGTGTTAAGTTGCCTAATTTAGCAGAATTATTAAACATACAAATCTCAACATCATGGCCTGATAAGCTATTTATTATGGGAGATGTAGTAGATGAGCTTTATTTTAAAGTATACACAAAATATTATCTTGCAACCGCCCTTCCGCAGACTGTTTTCTTCTCACTCTGGTTTCCACGGGATCAAGCCCAGTAGCGTGCCCGGTTTGCTCGCGGTTACAGCTTGGTATAACCTCGGATAATGCGGAAGGATATAAGGGATAATTGATGTAGGAATCTGTCGGAAAGCACGATTCTCCGACTCTCAGGGAATATACGGGGACTGTGATAGTTGGAGCGGCCGTGCGCCAAGGACGTGAAATCTGTGGGGATGATCAACTGCAGACACACCGAAGTCACCTTGGAGATGTTTCACCTTTTATTTCCTTTCGAGACACTGTTGTACAATACGTTATTCTGATTGTAGGGCAGCGCGATGATTCGGCTGTTGTATTTATAATTGTAAGAATCAAGCAGAAACTGTCTGCTTGCCTTGAAGAAACAAACTGTTGTAATTTGTACTTGAAATTTTGATGAATCGAGCAGAAACTGTCTGCTTGCCTTGAAGAACCGAACTTTTTGAGAGCGAGTACCAACGCAATCTCGCTTTATATATTCCCGCAACGTAACTGTTCTTGAATTCTGAATTGAATATGACAATCCGATTCGTCCCCCAAAATGTCACTTACGACCTCCTTCGTTCATATAAACCAGATTAATATGCCAAAGCCTTCATCTCAAGTTTCAGTCCGTTCGGGAATTGAACCACGGACCCGGACTGGCACAATCTGTTGCTGAATTATTGTTACAAAATTTATAATTTGTGTCAAATTATGTTTTAATAGTGATTTTTTTTAATTGCTTTCATTCACATAGACAATATTTATATCACCAGAAATTACATATTCAGGTTGTGGATCACATAGTTACATTAAGTAGCATCTGATGTCATCTCATGAAGTAGCTCTGTGTAAGCTTAATATAATTAATTTAGGTTTTCTAGTTTAATTTATTTTGGATGTAGAATGATTTCTTGCTATCTGTGATTTCCCCCAGAAAGTAATTCTGTATGAAATGATCGAATGGAAGTAGACTAATGTTAATGTTTCTGTTTTCATGAGTGATGTGACAGTTCTCATAGCAAAGCATGCTGAGCTTAGCTTATGCATAATGTATTGAATATGTGTTTTCAATCTTACGTTATCGTCTATTTGTAGGTCAAGAAATTTAGTTGTTTCCACTTCAATTATTTTATCCCCATACTCTATACCAGGATGGTCCAACTTTTTTCCTCGCTCAGGCCAGAACAGTTTTGCTGTTGGACCCAAGGACCAAGAAACCCCACTGTCACTGTTTTTGCATTGTCGTTATCTTTAATAATACTTATTCAGAAATGACAATTTACCATTGCACATGCTGAAATATAAATTTTATTTAAATGTGCACAAAGTACTGTAGAGTTGTATATTAATTTAAATTTGCTCCTGCAACAGCTTGTATCTCTCACAATTTTTACCTGGAAACTTACACAAATTATTTGACCTCCACTACTTTAACATCTTGTATCTGAAACAATAAGAATTTTTACCAGTAGAACCTGCATCTTATGCTTTTAAAGTCAGTGGCTTTAGTGAGAGCACTGAGCAGAATGTTCTTTTATCAGTGATGGAATATCAACCTCTAGGAATATCAACCTCTATCTTTGTTGTTGCTAAACGAAGGGTTGATCGTACAAAAAATATTTACTCAGCGTTCTGGCAGAGTCGATACTGCAGGGCTGGTCGACCTTTTCTCTACATGCCTTGGCACTGGAAAAAGAGTCCACATTTACAATCGTCCGCATAATTTTACATTTTTAGCTAGAAAGTCTGGGTTCAGGACTTAATGACACTGGCATAACTTATAATTGCACTCTCTTAGAAAAAGTTACGGTTATGAATGTAATAGTATAATAATAATTATTGAAACGGATTATAAATAATACATATTTATATCTTTCTTCAAAATACAACTTTTAGCATGTTGCTAGCCACGTATGAATATTTCAAAGTTTGATAAAATAATTTGTTACACGTGACTGAGCTGCGGGACTGTGGCGCCGTGTATCCTGTACGTGCTTCACAATCCACATTTTCAGACGCTGAAATAATCAATTCTGCTTTATTACACACATGCATCGAATTAGATTGGACCAGCTTATGTTCCAATATTGCATGTGACATACCGTCGGCAACGGAATTGTTATGATAAATGTTTAAGCTGGTTTGTGCTTGTCAACCTCTGACGACTCCTTGCAATATATCTTGTGAATAATAGAGTCATAGAAGTTCTTGTGAATCATGGTAAGATGTCTACACGTATGCTGTCAACTTGCCCTGTACGAGCTGTTCCACGTCTTGACATCTTCCGCAAGGACTGTTACCCATCCTTTCTTCCCTTCCCTATCTCTACCCCTCCTTTTCTCTGTTCCTCTTTGCGACCATTTTCTCTTCGCCCCTCCTACCAGCTCATGACTCGGCGTTCTGACCAGCGGCAGTTGGATCTTACCCTTCGTACAGTTATGTTGTTTGTGTTCTAACAGTCTGTGCAACGAAATTGCCTTGAAAACCATGCTGCAGGTGAGCGTTGTTGCGGTACGCCCTTGATTTAGTGCTGGAAGCTAGCGTAAGTAATTCCCTGTTCACGTTGTTTTATTTCTAGACGGTTTGAGTTGCATTTCTGTTCTTGTGTTATGGTTATCTATAGGATTACTTTTAAGGTGGTTTGTCTAGGATTTAGGGTTTTAGTTCGGCCTGTCTTCTTAACCATGTTAACTTGTGATTTAGCTTGTATGCCTCGACGTTATTTGAGTAAGTTTATTGTTTAAATACGAAATTGTGCTTTAGTTAACCATGTAAATTTTTAACCCTTTCCGGTCCTACGTCGGACTGAGTCCGCCACGTATTATACAGTTTTATAGACGTTGTGGAGTCAATCCGAGGCATACAAACAGTGTCAATATATCATTCAAGCCGTCATCTGTGCAGTGGTGTCAACCAAGAATTCATTATAATATATTTGTGAACCTTGTAAAAAAAATTTGTGAAGTGCCTACATATTTTGTTAGTACTTATATCCCCAGAAGGCGTGCGTTGGACAGCAAACATCCGTGAACAATTGCATTATGACCTGGATTCCTTCAGTAAAATTAGTCAGGATTTAGATATTGATATAATTGAGTATAGTGACTCTGATGCTTAAATAACTTGAAAATAATGTGTGGCCCACCCTAGAGCTAAGAACTCAAGCTCACTGGAACTGTATCTTTGTTCATGTTGGTTCAACTGCCCTGAAACATGGGCCATATATATTTCAATACCAATATTGTACTGTAACCGTCTCTTATTCTTTTGGGGGGCTTGAGTTTCATACGGTCCACTACAGGTTTGCGACGATGTATATAACCGTCTCCTCTCCTTAGCAGCTTGTTGCCAAGGTGGGATCAGGTACGATGAAGAAATCCCATTAGATAGGACGAGCCATGAAACTCATATCATGGAATTACTGGTTTTAATTAAGGGTCGCGTCAGCTGTGTCACGAGGTATTTATTTGCAGGTGATTGTTCTGGATTAACTCCTACGCACGATACTGGTAGATAGTGCACTACTGTGTGTGAACATAGTTAAATTAATACACATGCGTCCGTCATTGCCAATTCAGAATTGACGTGACTACTTGGCGAACTGACAACTATATAAGTTTTCAACTAAGAATTTACAATGTTTCAACTTGAGTACGAACTTGCAACAACTGCCTCGAAAAGAAGTTTGTTTCTCAAAATGTATTAATTTCTCCCACAACCTGAATGTTGTAACATCACTGGTTCATCTTCCCGCTTTGTTTCGTGGTTGGTGGAATAATTTAAATTTAAGTCAGAATAACTTTTCTCTTATTGGCCGGTTCGATACCCGAGGTCAACTGTGACAGTTTACATCGCGTGGTGACTGTAGGACACTTATGCCTACATTTGCATAAATCCGATTAATAGTGGTCCGACCTCCTGGGGGTGAAATGCTGCAATGGTCTGTCAAAGTAAAGTTACAAGAAGAATGCGAATTTTTCGAAAAGACAGTTGACAGTGACAAATATAGGTCTTATGTTCCCCTGACCCTTCGCGACTCGTGCAGGCGTGGATGTGGATGTATTGAAGACGGAAACGACGGGAACATTACTTCATCCTTAACGGGTGGTCATTTGTCTGGGCTCAACCTCATGACTAGACGATTACAGTACAGGTTATCGCAACCTTCCTAGCAACTGTTTTGATGCTAAAGGTTGTGTGAAAATTGGAGCAGTTGTTTATGCCATTTTTAGGTCGTCAGAAGAGTTTTGGTGCTTCTTGGCCAAAACAAAATTTTTATTCTTGTATGTTTTGCTCCTGTTACATAGTTTGATACCATCTTATGGCATTCCTTGAAAGCAACCTAACCTAACCTAACTATTTTTGGCATTGGATAGTTAACTACAGTTTTCGCCTTTTCTGTTGACCTGTATTGCCTCTCTTGCTGCAATATAATCTAAGTATTCAACTTTGGCCAGGCAATGGAACAATCTCCTGTAGGCATGATGTCTGCTACTTCAGTGGAATCCACAGACGACACTTTCACTTCCAATGTTTGTTTTTGGTGATAAATCTCAATTTCACCTTCGCGTCTGCACCCTTGGAGCAAACTCTGGAAAAGGGACTTCACTTGCAAATCAATCATATCACGTATTTCGATCCTGTTTTTCGGATCCTTCCTTGCTTTCATAAAGAATTTGTACTTCTGAGAACTGCTACTGTTTAGGAATTTCAGGACATTTTCCCGATTCAGAATTGTTACAGGATTGTGAATTTGTATTTGAATGCCGTCAGGCTGTAATTTCAGATTAGCCATTTATGATCTATAACACATGTAAAGCAAATTAGGATTGACATTTTTAACAGCACTAAATATTATCAGGTTATCTCTGCAACAGTATGAGCCGGGATAGCTCAGTCAGTATAGTGACTAGCTACGGGCTGGACGGCCGGGGTTCGATCCCCGACGGGGGCAGAGGATTTTTTC